AACCCATTCCGATCTGGTGTTGGACCGGTACTCACCCCTAGCCGTAGAACACATATTTCTTTCCAAAAAGGAAAAAATGAAACTTATTTTGTGACAATCAAAAAAGGAAAGTGGAATAGGTAAAATGGGACGGAGAGTATCTTTGTACCAATTGTAATGTAAAATGCAAGTGTAATCCTAGTAGAAGCCTAGGTAACAAAAACCCTACAAACCTCCTCATTCACCCTTCCAATACGGATGTTACTTGTCTAGAGCGTCTCTGTGTAGCCATCTAACCCAACACAACCTCCCCATTTGTAGTTCTAATAAATAACTCAACAAATATATCGACCCAACAAATAGGGTTATGGCCTCTGGGAGTTCTGGCATTTCATTTCCATTACACTCAGTCAAACTTAGCTTCCGATCAAAATTCGATCTTCACAAACCCCCCATCATTGGGGCGGATCATTGTGGGTAGGGGTGGGCTCCAACCCAATTGTTTATTTATATATGGGTATTTTGGGTAATTCTATTTACACTTCCCGTTTTACTATGCACACTCACTATATTTAAATTTAATAAATAACATAAAGAATTGCCCTATTATGCCCTTCCTCCATCCGTTCAAATTACACGCTCTGCTATTTCTTCTTTACCTCAACTCCCAGCCTTCGGAGATCTCTCTTATTTGTTGTTTTCCTCTTCTTTTTGTCTTTCTTCCTCTTCTCTTTCAGTCGTTTCTTTTTTATCCATTTTTCCTTCTTAGGGGATCTGCCTCTAGAGTTTCAAATCTCGGCTTCCCATCTGAGGATATCACCCAATTCACAGTTCCATGACTTATGTTTCATAGTCCCCACCAAATATTTAGAGGAATAAATGGACTTCCATATCCCGACGTTGATGACAGATCCGCAATTGGCTTTGAGTATCTTCGAATTGAAAAGTTTCGTGATTCGAGCTATTGAGCCAGACATAGCCGCCATTACATGTTATTAGAAGTCAATCAAATCCTCCATGGATTGCAAACTCCGTGTAGAGACGATTGTGGAGCTTCTTCTCTATAAATTCTGGGGCTAATCGTATCAACAACCAATTTTGAGCTAACGATGTATATATAATCTGAGGACACATAATTTGCCAGAATATAAAGAAAATATTAAAATGAAAACATACATCTAGTGCTTCTAATTTGGGAGTAAAACACGCACACAATTTGGGGTATGGTGTAGTCTGTGAAAGCTTGGAGTATTGGACGCCGGTGACCGGACGAATAGGTTCCCAAAGAAACCCATGTTGTGTTGTGCTTCGTATTTAATTGGGAAAAGGGCATAATTGGGCAATTCATTATTTTATTTATTAACTTTAAATATAATGGCTGTGTTTAGTAAAATAGTGGCTGTAAATAGAACTACCCTTTATATATTAATATGTGCAAATTACCCGTGTGATCCCCTTTTTAGAATTAGATATCATTAATGTCCCAATTAATTTCTCTTTTCAATAATAACTTTCTTATTTTCAATTGGGTTTTTTTATTTCACTTCTAGACAGGTTCCGTCACTTCCGTCAATACTTTTAAACCTTCAACCTTCGCCATCCTCTCAGACTTTCTTCCCGACTTCTCCCTTCTTATCTCACCACATAGTCACATGCCATGGAAATGTTGACCGCAACATCTGTTCTAATCTAAGTGTATGAATTCATGGAGTTCTTCCCACAGCAATCGTCCAAACTGTTCTCATTGGAGCGGACGATGCAACATCTGAAGAAAGGGAGGTTGCATCTCAGCGTCGACTGGTTTCGATTGATCCCTTATCGCAACGATCCGCCCCCTCTCTGCCAACAAATTGTTCAGCGGTCAACAACCAACGTCGATTCAAGTCCTCTGGAGCCCGCCGATTCACGTCCTCTGGAACCCACCGCTGCCCCATCCTTTCCAGCGCAGTCCGCGACTGGTAAGTTATCTTCCCGTCTAAAGTCGCGGTTTAGAAGCTCGCTCTTCAATTAGGCGCTAGAGGTGTGAATCTATATCAAGTTTGTGGTTCCTGGGCCGTGAATTAGTTCTGATCTAAAGGTTCTACAAGTTTGTATAGTCCAGTGTCTATTACTTGTTTGCTTAATATATTCGATTTAGGTCGATCTCAGAGCTCGTGAAATCTAGTGGAATCGCTTTTTTATTGGATACTCTTTCTCTGGAAATTAGTGGTATTGTTGTTATTGCACATTTGAATTCGTCTCAAGTGTGTGGGGATGTTGCTGTTGCAGGGGCTAGTCTTGTTGGCGGGGCTGGAAAAGGGGACATGGACTGGGCTATACAATTGAACACTGGTTGAACAATTAATCTTTGGTGTTGTGCTAATCCACTGCTTGGTTCTTGCAATGGTTGTGGAGGAACAACTAAGCACAAAGCAGTGAAAGATCAAGAGGTAGTTTTTTATTGTTTGAAGTGTTGCACTGAAGACTCTAATGATGCCACAAGCAAGGTTGTATATGCAGGAGCAGTTATAGAAGTTTGCATGAGGAAATTTGTATTCTACCATGAAATTGTTGGCTTTAAAAGAAGAGAAGGAGAAGATTCCTTCTGTAAAATCAATATGCATACAATTATCCACCAAAGTTGATTATGCTGGATTATGGAGGGTGCAAGGAAACCATTAGAATTGACAACTGGAAACCGTGAACACATACTTCAGTTCCTAGCAGAAAAGGTTAAGCAATCATTAGATATTTAGTACTAGGGATGGAATCATCTTATAACCAACCTTACCCCCATATATACAGTATATTGAGTAATCTATATTACTCCGTATTAGTGCACCAATTAGTACTCCATGCATGGATAATATGTAGCTTGGGTCAACCATTCTGCATTTTTCAGTTTGTCCAACCATTGCAGTATTCTATACCCTTGGATAACCATTGTTGTATTCACTTTGAGAATTTTTTTCTAAGATGCATAAAAGGAAGTGAAAGAAAGCAAAATTGTACAATACATATATTTAATACACTGAAATACCAGACTGAATTACATAAATGTTGTGATACTTTTATATGTTATTTTTTGTTGTATTAAATGTGTTGCATTTTGTTGCATCGTATTGTTTTTTGTTGCATCGTGTTGCATTTTGTTGCTTATTTTCGTTTTAATGTTGCTCTTGATTTTTATGTTTATGCAGGATTTTATTTATTATTGCATATGTAGATTTTATTTATCTTTGCATATGTAGATTTTTATGTTCATGCATTGTATATTAAATCTCAATAATGATAAATTTTCATTTATGAAACAATAAAAAACAAAAAATTCAGAGATATCAACAAAAGGAAACAAAAATAAATAATATGCAACAAAAGGAAATAAAAATAAACAATATGCAACAAAAAAACAATAAAATTATATATTTATTTATTGAATTTATAAAACCTTGAATGTTGTGACATGTCCATAAGATGCTTATATAAAACCCAATCCAAAGCTATTGTATTCCCCGAAGTGTGTACTTGTTGCTAATGCACACCTGTAACAGCCATTTAATTGCTGATTTCAGAAACACGCTCCATTTAATCCATGCTCTCTCCGCATCATGACCATATGTTTAATTACAATTACATTGAAATAACAAATTCGTGATATATTTATTGTGATACTTTTATATATTTTTGTTTCTTTTTATTGCATTTCGTGTGTTGCTTTTTGTTGCACGATGTTGCTTTTTGTTGTATCTTGTTGTTGTTGTTTCGTGTGTTGCTTTTTGTTGCACGAATGTTGCTTTTTATTGATTTTTTGAAATATAGCTTTTTAATTTATGTTGTTTATTGTTCATCTATGTTTTCGTTTGTATGTAGTAACTTTTTATTTATGCAATATGTATATATATGAACACCTAAAATTATAAATGTGGAATTATGAATATTAGGAACAACCACAAACATGGTGAAACAATAAAAAACATACAAATAAAGTTATCAACAAAATGAAACACAAGGAAACAATATTCTACGGAACTAGCAATAAGATGATAATCATATTTAAAAATATTTAAAAATTATTGAATTAAAAATTTAAATTTTCAATTTTTCAATTTTAATTTTTTACGTGTTCAACATTTTAAGTCTTTATTTTTTTTAATTTTCTAGTTTTTAATATTATACACTTTTTATAATTATTTTTTTGATATTGTTGTCAAATTTATGAATTATATTTTTCTATTTTGTTGTACTTTACAAATTATTCTAGATTTTTTAAAATATTTTAAAATTATATAGACATCTAGATTTTATAGAGTTTTTACTATGGAATTATTCCATCTTAAAAAATATATTCTTTCATAAAAAATTATAATTACATTTCATACTTTTTAGTAGTTCCAAAATATTTTTATCTAGTTTTACATACTACATGTTTGTTTATAATTTTTTCTCAATTTATAAGGATTCTTTTTTTGTACTTTTTTCATTTTATTTTATTTTATTTTATTTTAGTGTACGTATTTAAAATACAATTATTTATTGTTTTCAACCTTTATAATTTTTATTACATTTATTGTATTTTTAGTACCTTTATTACCTTTTTAAAGTTTTAAGTGCTCTGCCACCAAAAGAAAGTTTAAGGGTTCTCTATAATATATAAACATGTTTCAGTTTATTTGCATAAAATTTTATGTAATTTTTCGTTTTTCTCTTAATTTTCTAAAATTATTAAATACTACATGAGTGGATTTTCACTCATGTGCAATGTGCGTGTAATAACAGAGCATGAAACATGTGTTGATTTTCACACTTCCGTATGCAAGTCGTTACTTTTTTTATTGTTGCAATCCGTTACATAACAAGCAGGCCGGCTAGTGGTGATTGTCTATTATTGAAAACGAAACCTTGTCTAGGCTATTTTTGAAAGAAATTTTGAAAAGGGATAAAAGTGATATAAGTTTCACTTTTAGGCTACTTGTGAAAAAAGCCCTATTAATATAGATATAAGTTTGATTATCGGCCCACTCCAAAATTAATTCCCAGTACAGCCCAAACCTAATACGGTGTCCAACTATCACTCACCTGCGGCCTAGTGAAGTCTTTATGCGAAGATCGAAGAACGAAGGTCGACGAGGAGCCTGGCAGCTTGCATCGAGCCGAGGAAGACGCTGTGAACTGCGAACACCAGCTGACCTGCGGCCACCAGCCGCGCCGCCGACGCCGTCGAAAACTCAGCCGTGTTTTCTCTCCGGCTCTCCGCTCTGCCTGTAGCTCCTGGGCTCCAGCCTCTAGGTGACCAGGTATACTCTAGCTCTAAATTTCTAATACTCTTTTAGACATTAATTAATCGATTTTTTCAGGGTTATTGTGTATTGTTGTTGTGTATTGTTATTTTTAGGGTTAGATTATCAATTTTATTATTAATTGAATTTCTGAGTTCATAACAAAATAGTGTTTATTAATTTTAAATTTATAATGAGTAAAGATGTAATTAAAAATTAGAGAATGATTTACTTATCATACAATTGAAGAATATAGATTGATTTATTCATTGTGTGGACATGTAAAAAAGCATTAAAATTTTCAATTAAATCTTGAAATTGGGAATACTTATTAGTTTTATGTACAACTATTGTTTTTTCTTATTAGTTTTATAATTTTATAGAAGTATTTTAATTCATACCAATATTGAAAATGTTATTTTAGAATGGATAATGATTAATGAACATATTGCCAAGAAAGGAAAGAAGTTAATTTCGTCATTCTTTCCAAAAGTGAATCGTCAAAGTGGTGAAGGGAGTTCTGAATCTATACCTACGATAATGCAAGATCTACGAAATGAGGTTCCTCCACAAGACCAAATCCCTGAAATCCAAACTATCTCAAATTTGGAGCTGCCTCCATCTTTTTGCATTACAAGATGTAGATTCTATATTATTGACGAATTTTATAGTTTGAAGTCGCGTAGGGCACAACTTAAATGATGTTTAATGAATATTAAGTGTTGACGACTTTCAGTACTATTATGTGTGTGTCTTCAAATTTTATTTCTCAGCCCACCCCATTGTGGACTTCTGATTCTGCCCCTCCCGTCAGCCGCTTCATGGGTAATCTGATCAACCGACCACATCTACAACAGAATCATGTCATCAATCTACATCGGTAAGTCGCAAAGCACAGAAGATCTTGCAAGGGTTCGGTAGCAAATTCTATAGATCGGTACATGAATGACATATACGAATCTATTTGTTAAGTGAAAGGTTTTTTACAAACAAATCTATTCTAAAACCTTAAGGGCTTTTAGTAATTTCAATTTCTATTCTTCTTTGATGATATCGAGCGAGGATTCTTACTCATGAATAACTTGACGGCAATTGAAGTAAAGTTTTAGAAAAATTTAAGCAAATCTGTTTATTGTTTTTACATATCTACATGATAATATGTGGAACGGAGATTTTTTTTATAGATTCGGTTTTAACTGCTATAAGTAACATTTTTATTAAATTTGACAGGCACCAACTTCTTGGGTAGCTAATCTGCTGAGAAAATCGTACCAAGACACCTCCCCACCCGTGAGTTTAATTTACACTTTCACTCTCTATATAATATAAAGGGTATAAGATTGACAAATATGAATATATGCATAACTGCTGAACATATATTACTTAACACATTGTGTTTTAAAAAGAAATAAACAAAGATATTCTATTATAGACTTACTCTGGCACAATGATATTTGGATATTCTCCAAGTATTGTGTTTGATATCAACTCCTCTATACAAATAGACTCTTATTCCTTAACATTCTTTTCCTTGATTGTGTCAACTAACTGTTTTTTTCCTTGATTACTAAATCTGTTTTTTCCCTGTAATTAAAGAGTGATATTAACTGACTACTTAATTGTTCTTACTTTCACATAGCCTGAACCAACACTTAATTAAAAAAGTATTTATTCCCTAGATATAAACTTTTTATAAGCAAACAGACTTAACTGTATGTACCTTTCAAGTAACATAATCTTTCACCTTAACTACATACATTTAAATGAATATAAACGAACAATGTACATATGAAGGAAAATATGCATGTTCTCAAAAGTAAAAAAGCATGTTTTCAAAACTCTGAACAGTACTTTCTTGAAGCTGCTAGTACAAAAACATATCAGTTTATTAACCTTTTTATTTGATTCATTCCAGATCAAATTGAGCTTCAAGGATCAAGATCGACACTTCTATATTGATTCCAGAACAAATTCAGGTCTGAAATTTAGATTTGAAATTGACATTTCTTTTAGGCATTGCTATTTTATTATCTCCTGCAGTTTCTTATTTTGTTGAGAGCATTAGAAATATGCATAGTTGAGCTTAGGCTAAAGTATTCTCATCTTTGCTGCATCTTTGGTGCATATCATAGCCTCTTTCTAATATGTAGTTCTCTCTACTTGAAAAAGATAGGTGCCAAGAAACTTCAAGAAGCTCTAACATTTACATCTTTTGTTTATGCTCACATCAAGTTGTAATCTCATTTGCTTTCTCCCTCTATCAATTCAAGTAATGTACTTTTCATTTCTCTATAAGAAAGGAACTACATGTATCAAATATGAATATTATATATATATATATATGTGTGTGTGTGTGTATATATATATATATATATATATACACATTGGGATATCTACTCGGTGAGTACTCGGCGAGTACTCGCAACTTGGGTACCGACCTTGTCGAGTAGCTATCTGACTCGGTCCGTGTTTTATTTCCGAGTTACTCGCCGGGTTTCTCAACTCAGTGAAGTTTTCAACTCAGCGAGTACTCGGTCTAACTCGGTCCCCCTCTAAAATTGAAAAACTAAGTTACAAAATCTAGGTTAAACGGAGTTTCTGAAATCTACTATCCCCCAGAGCCGTGACTATGATCTCTCAATAAGTTCCCATCCTCTTTCTTGTATCTTCCCCTCTCCCCTCTCTCGTTTCTTCTTCTTCCGCCCTCCCATCCTTCTTCGCTAATTGTTCTTTTCTGCATTTTTAAAATATCACCATCTTGATATTGATGCACACATATTTGTTGATATAAATAAATTAATTTCACTAGTATGACTATATATATTATACTTCGTATATTTGTAACTCTAAATTAATATCACTATATTGATCGTTTATTATGGCAAATCATTGATCGATACACACTGATACACATCATCTAATTTACAGAATATGCTAATCCAACACTTAAGAGAAATCAGATGATTTAGGACGGACATGAGGAGAGCACAGAGATCCTAGCAAATTATTAGATGATTGAGTTTTCTAAATGACTTAGAATGTTTATGACTTTTGCTACTCCATCATTAGGATATCTATCATTTTAAGACAAATTTAAGACTATTATATTTCTTTAATCTTAGGCACCTGTGCTATTAAATTTAATAATTACAAGACCGAGTAGTCACCGAGTAATCGGTCCTACTCGCTACTCGGCCCTTTACCGAGTTGCTACCGAGTAGCGAGTTAACTACATAGTGTATATATATATGTGTGTGTGTATATATATGTATACCATGTTGGGATGATACTCTTTCATAATACAGGCTGAGAATGAACAGAAAAAAGAGAATTCAAGGAATTCAGTGGTATTCTTTCAGAAAGAGTAGTATTTATAGGGAAATGAATGCTCTTTCCACAAAGAAAATACATGTCCCAAGATCATGCTGTCATGTTTTGATTGGCTGAAAATACACATGCCCCAATTAACAGGTTGGCCAAAACTGATGGGTTGTATTTTAAACATTTTAATATTTCTTTTGGATATTTTGTACACCTGATCTTGGAAACAGCCAGGCCGGACATGACTGGACCTGTACAGTGTCTACTAATGAACCTTCATTACTATTTCTACTGTATATAGAGAGTTGTTACTATTTCAATATGTCGCAGGGGCAAATCCCCCGTTGGTTTATTCGTGACAACTTTTTTGACATTAATCATCTTGGGCATGATCATCTAGAATCTATCCATTGGTTCTATAATGAACCATTACTGGTTAGATATGGATTTACTTTGCATCATTGTCATGACTAACTTGCTAATTTTTTGAAGACTTAGATGTTTTGATATGTTCAATCCTATTTTAAGAATTTGTTTGATTTATTTTTTCCTTAAAATGAAATCATATATTTTAATATTAATTACTTTAGTTAAATTATATAAAATTTAGTTAAGTAATTAATTTTAAAATATATTGTTAAATTTGAAAAGAAAAAATAAATCAAAGAAATTCTTTAAATAAGACTGAACTTACCCAAACATCTAAGCCCTCAAAAAAAGGGATTTGTCCATGACGATGATGCAAAGTGAATCCATCTCTAATGAGTAATGGTTCATTATATATTTATTATTGGTGTTGGGCAGAAGTTAAGGTGGAGTTTGTTGTTTTAAAGATTTAATTAGTGGTGTTTGTATGGGTTTGTAGAATGATGATCAGGGGCCTCTTGCTTTTGATTTTTAGTTTTCCTTATATTGAATTAGATGAGTTTGTGAGTTCTATTAGGTGTTTCACATTTTTAAGGGTTTTTTATTTTTAATTGTAGGTATTAAATATGATTTTCCCACTTTGTAGGAATCTTTCTCAGAGAGAAATGATTGACATAAAGCAACTTCCTCCACTTGGGTTTGATTCCCTCAACAAGAGTCTTCCAGCCGGGTCGCTTACAATTTCGGAAGGTTATCTTCTCACTCCGGAACAAGTGGTAAAGTTTATCTATCATTTGAAATCACTAAATCACCATCACTGAAACAAAGACAATTTGGTCACCGACGTTGAACTGACAGAGGGATATATCACCATTATAAGCTTGTTTTGAGACATGCAAAGTCAGCATCCGTTTTCTCATTTCTGGCTTGGGGCACTGATGACCCAGATGCAGGCTCATATGGTCCATATGCATGCGCAGATTGTCAGGTGCATGTTAGAATGCATTCGAGCGTGCACCTATGCAATGTGGGCATGCTTTTGGACCATCTGGGTCATCTGGGCCATCGGTGTCCCCAAGCCAGCATGAGAAAATGGATGCTGGCTTTACATATGTCTCGAAACAAGCTTATGGTGGTCATATATCCTTTCTGCCAGTTCAACATCGTTGACCAATTTATCTTTGTTTCGGTGATGGTGATTTAGCGATCTTAAATGATAGATAAACCTTACCACTTGTTTCAGAGTGTGAAGATGACCTTCCGGAATTGTAGGCGACTCGACTGCAAGGCTCTTGTTGAGAGGATCAAATCCAAGTGGAGGAAGTTGCTTTATGTCAATCATTAATACTCGTAATTAAAAATAAAAAATTCCTAAAAATGTGAAAAACCTAATAGAACTCACAAACTCATCTAATTCAATACAAGGAAAACTAAAAGCCAAAAGCAAGAGACCCATGATTATCATGCCACAAACCCTCACAAACACCACTAATTAATTCTTTAAAACAACAAACTCCACTTTAAATTCTGCCCAATACCAATAATAAATCTATAATGAACCATTACTGGTTAGTGATGGATTCACTTTGCATCATCGTCATGACTAACTTGCTGATTTCTTGAGGGCTTAGATGTTTTGGTATGTTCAGTCCTATTTAAAGAATTTCTTTGATTTATTTTTTCCTGCCAAATGAAATCATATTTTTTAATATTAATTACTTTAGATAAACTATTTAAAATTTAGTTAAATAATTAATCTAAAAAAGAGTTTAATTTGAAAGGAAAAAATAAATTAAAGAAATTCTTTAAATAGGATTGAACTTACCCACACATCTAATCCCTCAAAAAATCAGCAATAATTGGCCTTGACGATGATGCAAAGTGAATCCATCTCTAATCAGTAATGGTTCATTATAGATTTATTATTGTTATAGGGCAGAATTTAAGGTGAAGTTTGTTGTTTTAAAGATTTAATTAGTTGTGCTTGTGTGGGTTTGTGGCATTAAGATCAGGGGCCTCTTACTTTTGATTTTAGTTTTTCTTATATTGAATTAGATGATTTTTTGAGTTCTATTAGGTGTTTCACATTTCAAGGGTTTTTTATTTTTAATTACGAGTACTAAATATGATTTCACCCCTTTGTAAGAATCTTTTTCAGAGGGGAATGATTGACATAAAATAACTTCCTCCACTTGGGTTTGATCCCTTCAACAATGTCATCTTCCCAATCCGGAACATGTGGTAAGGTTTATCTATCATTTGAGATCGCTAAATCACCCACACCGAAACATAGACAATTTGATTACCAACGTTGAACCGGCAGAGGGGATACATCACCACCATAAGCTTGTTTCAAAACATATGCAAAGCTAGCATCCGTTTTCTCATGTTGGCTTGGGAGCACTGATGACCCAGATGACCATGATGCAGGCCCAGATATGATTCATATGCATGCGCAGATTACCTAGGTGCAGGCTGGAATGCAGGCCCATATGGTCCAATCTAGGTCATCATCTGGTCATCTGGGCTATCAGTGCTCCAAGCCAGCTTGAGAAAAAATGGATGCTGCCTTTGCATGTCTCAAAACAAGTTTATGGTGGTGAACAAATTTTCTTTGTTTCGGTAATGGTGATTTATCGATCTTAAATGATAGATAAATCTTACCACTTGTTCCGGAGTGGGAAGATGACCTTCCGGAATTGTAGGTGACCTGGTTACAAGACTCTTGTTGAGGGGATCAAACCCAAGGGGAGGATGTTGCTTTATGTCAATCATTCCTCTCTGAAAAAGATTTTTGCAAAGGGGGAATCATATTTAATACTCGTAATTAAAAATAAAAAACCCCTAAAAATGTGAAACAACTAATAGAACTCACGAACTCATCTAATTAAATATATGGAAAACTAAAAACCAAAAGCAAGAGGCCCCTGATCATCAAGCCACAAACATCACTAATTAAATCTCAAAAACAACCCCACTTTAAATTCTGCCCAATATCAATAATACATTTATAATGAACCATTAATGATTAGAGATGGATTCACTTTGCATTATCGTGATGACCAACTTGCTAATTTTTTGAGGGCTTAAATGTTTTGGTATGTTCAGTCCTATTTAAATAATATCTTTGATTTATTTTTTCCTTTCAAATGAAATCATATTTTTTAATATTAATTACTTTAGTTACTTAACTATATAAAATTTAGTTAAGTAATTAATCTTAAAAAATATTGTCTAAGTTTAAAGGAATATATAAATCAAAGAAATTCTTCAAATAGGACTGAACTTACCTAAACATCTAAGCACTCAAAAAATCAGGAAATTGGCCATGATGATGATGCAAAGTGAATCTATCTCTAACCAATAATGGTTCATTATAGATTTATTATTGGTATTGGACAGAATTTAAGGTGGAGTTTGTTGTTTTAAAGATTTAATTAGTGGTGTTTGTGTGGGTTTGTGGCATGATGATCGGTGAGTCTCGTGTTTTTGGTTTTTAGTTTTCCTTATATTGAATTAGATGAGTTTTGAGTTCTATTAGGGGTTTCACATTTTCAGGGTTTTTATTTTTAATTACGAGTATTAAATATGGTTTCCCCCCTTTGTAGAAATCTTTTTCAGAAAGGAATGATTGACATGAAGTGATTTCCTCCACTCGGGTTTGATCCCCTCAACAAGAGCCTTCCAGCCGGGTCGTCTACAATTCCGGAAGGTCATCTTTTCACTTCGGAACAAGTGGTAAGGTTTATCTATCATTTGATATCGCTAAATCACCATCACCGAAACAAAGACAATTTGGTCACCGACGTTGAATTGGCAGAGGGGATATATCACCACCATAAGCTTGTTTCGAGACATATGCAAAGCCAACATCTTATTTCTCGTGCTGGTTTGGGGGCACTGATGGCCTAGATGACCCAGCCCAGATGGTCCAGATTGCCCAGGTGAGGTGCAGGCTGGAATGTAGGTACGAATGGTCCAAATGCAAGTTCAGATGACCCTGACGTATGTCCAGGTGCAGACAGAAATGCAGGCCCAGTTTGCCCAGATGCAGAATCAGATCGCCCATTTTTAGGCACAAACTTTTGACCGATTTGCTTGGTTTGGTGCTAAAACTCAGGTTCCACGTGCCTGGCCGTACAATTCCATGCGGAGCAATACCGATAACATCTGCGTCGTATTAAAATTTTTGCACAACCATCCTGCCCAAAACTCTCTATACTTTGATTTTGATGAACCTTAATGTGCCGTAGGGGCAAATCCCTTGTTGGCCTTATTCCTGACAACTTTTTAGACATTAATCATCTTGGGCATGATCATTTGGACTCTATCCATTGGTTCTATAATGAACCATTATTGGTTATAGATGGATTCACTTTGCATCATCATCATGTCCAACTTGTTGATTTTTTGAGGGTTTAGATGCTTGGGTAAGTTCAATCATATGTAAAGAATTTTTTCGATTTATTTTTTCCTTTCAAATTAAATCATATTTTTTAAGATTAATTACTTAGTTAAACTATATAAAATTTAGTTAAGTAATTAATTTTAAAATATATGATTTAATTCGAAAAGAAAAAATTAATCACAGAATATCTTTAAGTAGGACTTAATTTACCCAAACATGTAAGCTCTCAAAAAATGAGCAAGTTTGTGGTGACAATGATGCAAAGTGAAACCATCTCTAATAAGTAATGGTTCATTATGGAACCAATGTATGGAGTTCGCATGATCATGCTCAAGATGATTAATGTATCAGAAGTTGTCAGGAATAAGGCCAACGGGGGATTTTCCCTTACGACATATCGAGCTTAATCAAAATCAAAGTGCAAAATTTTTACTACAACGCGGATGTTGTCGGTATTACTACGAGTGCAATTGTATCCCCGGGCACGTGTAACCTGAGTTGTAGCACTAAGCCCCGCAATTCGATCAAGAGTTTGTGCCTGAAAATGGGCGATCTGGTTTTGCATCAGGGCAATCCGGACCTGCGTCTGGGCCATCAGGGTTTGCATCTGGACCATTTGGACTTGCATTCCTGTCTCCACTCTGGCAATCTGGGCATGCATATGTACCATTTGGGCAGATGCAATCTGGGCCATCCGTGCCGAAGCCAGCTTGAACTAATTATTGGACATGCAATTTGCCTATTTATAACTCTTATTGTTAGTGAATGTTGTGCTTGAGTTTTTCATCTACCCTTATAAGTTAAGTAAGATGAAAGAGGTGACTTTCCTTGTACAGGTCATCTTGCAGGCTCGTGGTTTTATTCCGTGTCTTTTGAAGAGTAGTTTTGAGTACAAGAACATTTTTAAACTTTTATGGTGTGTTTTTTTAATCTCTTTTTTACCATTAGTTCATAAATGCTTCAGTTTCAAGAGCATGTTCTCTTTTTTTGTTTCTGAATATTTGAAAAACATTGTACCGGAGAGAATTCTGCCAGTTCAACGTCGGTGACCAAATTATCTTTGTTTCGGTGATGGTGATTTAGCTATCTTAAATTATAGATAAACCTTACCACATGTTTCGGAGTGGGAAGATGACCTTCCGGATTGTAGGCGACCCGGCTGCAAAATAAATTTGTAATTTGAAAGGAAAAAATAAATCAAAGAAGTTTTTTAAATAAGACTGAACTTACCCAAACATCTAATCCCTAAAAAAATCAGCAAATTGGCGATGATTATGATGCAAAGTGAATCCATCTCTAACCTGTAATTGTTCATTATAGATTTATTATTTTTATTGGGTAGAATTTAAGGTGAAGTTTGTTGTCTTAAATATTTAACCGGTGGTGTTTGTGTGGGTTTGTGGCGTTATGATCAGGGGTCTCTTGCTTTTGGTTATAGTTTTCCTATATTGAATTAGATGAGTTTTTGAGTTCAATTAGGCGTTTCACATTTTTAAGGGTTTTTTATTTTTGATTACGAGTATTAAATATTAAATATGATTTCCCTCCTTTGTAAGAATCTTTTTCAGAGGCGAATGATTGACATAAAGCAACTTATTCCACTTGGGTTTGATCCCCTCAACAAGAGTCTTCTAGCCGATTCGCCTACAATTCCGGAAGGTCATCTTCCCACTTCAGAACAAGTGGTAAGGTTTATCTATCATTTGAGATTGCTAAATCACCATCACCGAAAAAAAGACAACTTGATCACCGACGTTGAACTGGTAGAGGGGATATATCACCACCATAAGCTTGTTTCGAAACATATGCAAAACCAGCATCCGTTTTCTCATGTTGGTTTGGGGGCACTGATGGCCCAGATGACCTAGATGCAGGCCCATATGGTTCATATGCATGCGCAGATTGCCTAGGTGCAGGCTTGAATGCAGGCCCATATGGTCCAATGTGGGCCATCATCTGGGTCATGTGGCTATTAGTGCCTCCAAGCCAGCATGAGAAAATGGATGCTGGCTTTGCATATGCCTCGAAACAAGCTTATGGTGGTGATATATCCCCTCTGTCCGTTCAACGTCGGTGACCAAATTGTCTAATGGTGATTTAGCGATCTTAAATGATAGATAAACCTTGCCACTTGTTCCGGAGCGGGAAGATGACCTTCTGGAATTGTAGGCGACTCGGCTGGAAGGCTTTTGTTGAGGGAATCAAACCCAAGTGGAGGAAGTTGCTTTGTGTCAATCATTCCTCTCTGAAAAAGATTCCTGCAAAGGGGGGAATCATATTTAATACTCGTAATTAAAAATAAAATACCCCTAAAAATGTGAAACTCCTAATAGAACTCACAAACTCAACTAATTCAATATAAGGAAAACTAAAAACCAAAAGCAAGAGGCCCCTGATCATCATGCCACAAACACCACTAATTAAATTTCAAAAACAACAAACCCCACTTTAAATTCTACTCAATATCAATAATGAACCATTACTGGTTAGAGATAGATTCACTTTGCCTCATGACCAACTTCCTAATTTTTTAAGGGCTTAGATGTTTTGGTATGTTCAGTCCTATTTAAAGGATATCTTTGATTTATTTTTTCCTTTCAAATGAAATCATATTTTTTAATATTAATTACTTAAGTTATACTATATAAAATTTAGTTAAGTAATTAATCTTAAAAAATATTGTCTAATTTGAAAGAAATAAATAAATCAAAAAAATTCTTTAAATAGGACTGAACTTACCCAAACATCTAAGCACTCAAAAAATCAGCAAATTGGCCATGACGATGATGCAAAGCGATTCCATCTCTAACCAATAATGGTTCATTATAGATTTATTATTGGTATTGGGCAGAAGTTAAGATTGAGTTTGTTATTTTAAAGATTTAATTAGTGGTGTTTGTGTGAGTTTGTGGCATGATGATCAGGAGTTTCTTGCTTTTGGTTTTTAGTTTTCCTTATATCGAATCAGATGAGTTTGTGAGTTCTATTAGGGGTTTCACATTTTTATGGGTTTTTATGGTTTCCCACTTTGCAGGAATCTTTTTCAGAAAGGAATGATTAACATGAAGCAATATCCTCGACTTGGGTTTGATCCCCTCAACAAGAGCCTTGCAGCCGGGTCGCCTACAGTTTCGGAAGGTCATCTTCCCACTCTGGAACAAGTTGTAAGGTGTATCTATCATCTGAGATCGCTAAATTTGGTCACTGACGCTGAATTGGCAGATGGGATATATCACCACCATAAACTTGTTTCGAGACATGCAAAGCCAGTAGCTGTTTTCTCGTGCTGGCTTGGGGGCACTGATGGCCCAGACCCAGATGCAGGCCCAGATCATCCAGATGCATGCCTAGATTGCCCAAAATGCAGGCTGGAATGTAGGCACGAATTGTCCAAATGCAAGTTCAGATGACGCTGACGTATGTCCAGGTTGCCCAGGTGCAGACAGAAATGCAGAACCAGATCGCCCATTTTCAGGCACAAACTTTTGACCGAATTGTGGGGTTTTGTGCTGAAATTTAGGTTCCACGTGCCTGGCCGTACAATTGCATTCGGAGCAATACCGACAACATCCGCGTCGTAGTAAATTTTTTTGCACAACCATCCTGCCCAAAACTCCCCATACTTTGATTTTGATGAAGCTCAATGTGCCGTATGGGCAAATCCCTCTTTTTGCCTTATTCTTGACTACTTTTTAGACATTAATCATCTTGGGTATGATCATTTGGACTCTATCCATTGGTTCTATAATGAACCATTATTGGTTATAGATGGATTCACTTTGCATCATCATCATGACCAACTTGTTGATTTTTTGAGGGCTTAAATGCTTGGGTAAGTTCAATTATATTTAAAGAATTTCTTCGATTTATTTTTTCCTTTCAAATTAAATCATATTTTTTAAGATTAATTACTTAGTTAAACTATATAAAATTTAGTTAAGTAATTAATTTTAAAAAAAAATTCCATCATTTGCAATGGAGCCAAAGATTCATTATTTTTTGGCTTGAGATTATGATGGAATAAAGCAAAGTGACTCACTAAACTGTCTGCGCTTCTTTGTTATGAAGCAGCAGTTATGAGTAGTTATAGAGGTGTGTTTTTTAATTTCTTTTTTACCATTAGTTCATAAATGCTTCAGTTTCAAGAGCATGTTCTCTTTTTTTGTTTCTGAATATTTGAAAAACATTGTACATGAGAATATTTGTTTCTGAATATATGTTTCTAAATTCATGCTTCTAGCAAAGAAGAAAAGATTTACCCATAATGAAAGCATATGTAATATGTTACCTAAGCTACTTTAATATGCTACAACCAACTGATGGGTACTCTGGACCAAGAATACATAACGTTGATCACGTTTTTTTACTTATATGTATGCTGATTTCATAGAAGGAACTTTCCAGAACAAGTGTGTTGATATAGAATATCTCATTTACTTTGTTTATAGGTATGGAAAAAATGGTTGTATTCTACGTAGTATTAAATTTGGAATATTCATTTAGTTGATGCTACCATTTAGTATCATGTGTCCTCTGATCTTTAGGATGTTCTATTATGTTAAATATTGAAGTACCCAATACTTATATTGGTTAAATTTAGTGGTATCTTTCTCTGACCAATTAGTTAATGTGACTACTCAAGGTTATATTTTAATGCTTGTATCTTTGGAGGAAAAACATTGAGGAGGCTAAATTTAATCAACTGATTAGTAAGAAGTACTCAAGTTGCACGCGAAATGTTCAAGGCCTTTTCTACTCATCTTTTTTTTGAGCAGTTGAGCTGGTTGAAGCTAAACACACATCAACTCAATTCATAACAAAGCTTATGATTTTCATAGGATTACACCAAACATCATTACAACATGTCAGTGGCGGACCCAGAAAGTCAGAGCCACGGGGTCCCTACCCTTTTATATCTTTTTTTTTCTTTTTTTTACTCCAGGGGGGTCTGGGAGAGGGGGCGGGGAGGGGCCTGGAGTCCTGGAGTAATCAGGTCTGAAACTCACTCCATTGAGTTTCAAACCCTTATGTGCAGTGGCGGAACTAGGGGGCGAGCCGGTGCCGGCGCTCCCCCTTCTTCGGCGGTGGTTCTGTATGTATATATATGTATATATCTCAGCCCCGGTTCAGAAAGTATTCATATATTAAATTGGAGTCTCTATTTGAACATATGAGTTGTGATAGTTAAAATGGTAGGGTGGAGGTTGGGACAGCTTTGTCTACCTAAATCGCTCGGGTTTAATTCTCAGGAGCAACAATATTTTTTGCTTTCTCCATTATTGCTTCTTTAGACTTTAGCCCATTTGGTAATTATTTATGTTCAATTAAATCACTCTAGTATGTAATGTTGTTTAAATCACACTTTTTGAATTTCTATATCTTTTATTTTAAATTCTCATTTCTTCAATTCAAATTAATTTTAATCATTTCTTCTTCTAATAATGACATATACGGACGTTGTGTCAAGAATAATTCTAAAATTACTTTAAGTTAATATAAGTATTTACCTTTTGTTTAGTATAATAGCATTTTTATTTGAGACACACTACATATACATATATATAAGTTTCGGATCAAATAAAAAGAGTTCTTATCGTGAAAATTGATCGAGAATAAATCTTGTGCATTTAACTTGAGATCCGATGAGTCAAAATCAGTCAACAATGCACTATATTTTATCAAAAACTCGGTGACAATTTGATAAATAAATCAAAATTTTCTATCATTGTGAAAAAGTGTAAAATAAATATCTACTAGTGTACCAAAATGAGTAAAAAATGCGTCTGTTCTCATTTTTCACTGGAATAACTCTTTTTAATAGAACCTCACTCTATATGCATTAAAAATTATTTTTCACTCGTTTTTATTATATCCTAATAAAAAATTGTTTTTTAAAATAAAATATAAGAGCACCCCCTCAAATTATTGTCTGGTTCCGCTGCTGCTTATGTGCCTAGGGGGTTTCGAACTCGAGACCTCCCACTAGGCATGATAATAATACAAGTATAAAACTAATAAATAAATTGATTCAATTCTTCATTTACTAATGGCGAATCATTTGAATTAACACATGAACTACTCCCGGGACTCTAGGTTTCTTTAAATTTGGGTACAACATCAAAATATCTTTTCATCGTAAATCGTATAAAATTGAAAATAACATTTATAAATACATGAATTTATTAATTTAATCTAACATTAAAAAAAAGATATGCAAAGAAAAGCAGCAGAGAAAAAAAAAACCGGGCGACGATGTGCTTATATTTTACACACTTTTTAGGCTTAGTTTGTTGATAATTTTAGTTATTAAAGTTGTACTTTTGTACATATTTTTATTATTTGTCGTTAATTTGTATTAGTGCAGTCTTATGCGTGTATTATGTATTTTCTGATACATTTGATGTTATTTGGATACATTTAGCGTGAAGAAATGAAGAAAATAAAAGTTCAAGTTGGAGTATAACAAACGTGAAATTTCCTTCAAAGAAAATAAGGTGTAAATTGGAGAAAAATAGCAAAAATTAATAATGATGGAGATGGGATTCGAACTCTAGTCATTTGAACAAAGAAAGGCATACTCAACCAATGAGCTAAATGAACCAAGTTGAAATTTTGTTGGAAATTCGTATACATTGTTCAAGCCCAGTACTAAAAAAAAGAATAAAAAGAAGAAGCTGGGTTTCAAACCCATGACTTCAATTGTGGAATTAGCACCCATCACCGCTGCACTGCTTCATTCTTTTGGTGCTAAGGTTGTTTTTTGTGTAAATATAAAATGAATAATTAATTTTATATAATATATATATAGGTATTTTTTTCGAGGTGCCCGGGACCCCATGGGACCCTTAGTGGGTCCGCCTCTGCAACATGTAATGGTACAAATTGGAAGAAGCTATGCGACTAGAACAACAACATGGAAATGAATTGTTTCTGCATTCATTTTCATCAAGGAGATGTTATCATGAAGGTACATTGAAGTGAAAGAGCCAGGAGATGACAAAGGCAAACACCATACAACCTAGCAAGAGGTTAAGGAACCTATGACCTTGCCAGAAGTTCCGGGACCTTGTTGCGGATGCTGGCATTTCCACGGTCACAGTTGTTGTACTTGCATCGCTTGACTGCTCTTGCAGCTCAGGATCCGGATCCTGACCGTGCTCGGCATCGTGTATCACAACCACGCTTTGTGCTATTGATCCACAAATCTCACAAGTCTTGTTTCCTCTAATCTTGAACCAAGCCTCAGCACAGTGTTTGTGAGCAACAGCCAAATCATCTTTGCATGAACAGCCCAGTTCAATGGGTAGCCCAGAATCAGGGTCATCAGCATCCAATCCCAAATGGCATATCCTGCAATCCCTCTCGGAATTCTCCAAATGTACCTCATTTTCTTGCCCCTCTGTCTCCAGATCCACATCCAGGTATTCTGACACCGATGATCTCCTCCTCTTTTCCGGCACAGCGATAATCTCACTCTTACACAATTCCTCGCCGGAGGAACGGCGGCCGTCCCCGCCGCCTGCTTCCAAATCAACGTTGGACTTGTCTAAAGATTGCATTTTTGGCAGAGACCCAGGTTCTGAATCCACATGAAAATGCAGATTTCTTATAAAGAAGTTACTTCGTATTAATTTTCACTATAAAGATATTCTGACATTAGGTGAACAATATCCACGCCCCTCCGGCGAGGGACTTGGAAAGTGGGAGTGCACACTACTCATCTATTCTCCATTGATGTTTCAATCTACTCATCTATTCTCCATTGATGTTTCAGTCTACTCATCTATTCTATATTGATGTTTCGGTCTTTTTGTGTTTTGGCACATATATTTTTATTTTAGGTTGCATTTTTTTCTTGTTTATTACGTATTGTTACGGGGTATGCCCTTATGAATTACGGAGTATGTAATATGTACATTCACATTTATGTGTGAATTTGAGATAAAGATATTGGAATTTTAATTATTTATTCATATTAAATTATGTGTATATATATACTGTCATTATAAATAATTTATAAATGATGAAAAAAAGTTGAGTTCTTTTCGTATTAATGCTAATTAATTAAATAATTACGGAATTAATGTTGGGTTAAAACTATTTACCAATATACTGGTGGGCTTAACTCTGGTCGGGGAAAGTCGCCAAACCGTTTGGCGACGTTCTCCTTCCCAAATACGTTAACACCCAAACGTTCTATTTCAGACCGGCTCTGGTTTGGGCCCAACCGGGGCCGGTCAGGGACGCCCCGGTGGCGAAAAATTGCGTTTTTCGTCCTAAATCGATCTCAATTATCGCAATTCACCGTTTGACGACCTATAGAACACATACAAAACACAATTTGGTAAAAATGATACAAAGCGAGAAACATAATTTGGTAAAAATGATACAAAATGATAAAAAGTATTAATAACACAATATCCATTAGTTTTTTTTTTATTTCGGAAGGCAAACCAACAAAATCAGTGGGGCATATGCCAGGAGACATGTCATAATTTTATTGAATAAGCATATATTACATAACGTAGGGGACTAGGCCAATACTTCCTTCAAAAAATTGCAACAACGTTAAATAAATGAGACCAAGAAAAAAAGACGAAAATACAATGAGTAAAAAAGTTAATGACGAAAATAAAAAGGCCATAATTATCAGCACATAAAGCCTTTTTAATAGTACTATGCAATTCATTAATGGAAAAATAAGCCTGGAGTGAGATGGTACAGGATTGTATCTGGAAAAATAAGCTTGGAGACTGGAGTGAGATTGGCATCAGGAAAAATGAAAAGTTTAATCATGTTTAGATATTAAAATCAT